TATAAAAAACCTAGAATTTTTTTAAAATAGTTATATCCCAACACTATGTGTTGAGAGTGTTATAAGTTTGCTTGGGCCAAAAATTATGTTACACCTCGAAATATTGGTTTCCCACATAGGAAAGTATATATTGATTTTCCTATCTCGCCGAGCTGGGTCGATCTTTTCGTCCGTCTGTCCGTGTTAATTTGTAATCACTCTACAGGTCGCAATTATGGCCCGATCTCCACGAAATTTAGAATGGAGGTGGGGCTAGGGCAAGAATAGAAGCATATTGCTTTTGGAGATTACGCATAATATTTAGGGGTTGAAATGGACCAAGAACTGAACAATTGTCTGATTTTGCAGTTGCTCTACAGGTCGCAATTATAGACCAATCGAAGCGGAAGTTAGCATGGGGTAAATATTGAGCAGATGTCCCAAAAATGCTAAGGGTAATATCTGGGCAGTGCTCCGTGACATAATTTCAAAGCGAAATCTTCTAAAATGAATTTGGACATAAGGGGGCTTCTAACATATTGTAGAGTTGTAGGGTATCATATGGTCGGCCCCGCACGACTATAGCCTCTGCTTACTTGTTTATTATTTTTAATGTTAATTTTTAAAGAATATAGGCATATACGCCAAAGACACTCTTATTTACAATCGTAAAACTTTTGAAGATAGATTTTCAAATTTACGACAAAAGAATTTAAGAGCCTAGCTTTGAACTTTTAAATCTACAAAACATATAGCCAATCAGGGGCTATCATTATATAACTGCAGTAAAATAGCGGAGCTATAATAATTTTTTTAATGGCGTTTCTAAACAATTGAAAATAAAAAATACTTGAAATCGACATTATCCTTACATGGGAGCTATACCAAAAAATTGCCTGATATGACCCATTTTCTATACCAATGATTCTGGGTGTAATCCAAAGATATCTATCATATTTCAAAGGCTAAATTTTGCGAAATATATATCAAACTATAGAGGTCCCTTTGTATATGGTCAAAACTATATAAGGGCCTTGACAACATTTAGCCTAAGAACCCAAAATTCCGTTTGGGTTTTGATCTAAAAACTAGCACTATCAAGTTCCCCTTGGCATTTTCCACAAACTGCCAGACTGGCTCTTGCACAGGGAAATTATAAGAAAATTGGCAGGGAATTGGGAAAAAGTACTCAGATTATTCGGAAATAAACAAGTGTTTTTTATTAACTGAAAGTGAAGATATATTATCGTGGTATATATTGAATATACAAATTTCTTTTGTTCAGAGACTCACAATAGAATTTGATCTAGAACAATTCTTACTTTGGCACTTTCCCCAATAAATAAGGTTTTATCTCAGATTTTGGCTCGGATTTGATACGTGTTAAATTAACAGTAAAAAAGCGAACTCATAGTTTTCACTTTTAGTACATACATTTTGAATGTAATTTTCATTAAAACTATTGTATCTGGTTATATGGTTTATTCTGAGATTTATAGTGAAAATTTGTTTAGAATTTTTTTTTCTTTTGACATTTTCTGCCTAAAACAAATTTGTATGTTACTTTCAGGCGCCCTCTCGAAAAGAGATCGGGGAAAAATTGACCAAAGAATTAGAGAATATTTTCGGTTATTCTTTTTGGGAACAGGATGTAAATACTTTTATTGATATACAGTGGAAATAGTGGTCTCTTTTCTTTGGTGACTTATGGTGAAATTTGATGAAGAATAATTTCGTCCTTGACCTCATCGTTCTAAAATGAGGCTTTGTTGGAGATTTTTGCACAAACTCACACTAAGTACGGCTTTAACCCTAACATGTGTTTTTATGCCCTACGCCACATAGTGTAAGGGTATTATATCTTTGTGCATTTGTTTGTAACATGGAGAAGGAAGCGAGATAGACCCATAGTTACTTTTGAGAATCTTCATAGAATCACATTCTGAGTCGATTTATGCATGTCAGTCCGTCCGTCCGTCTGTCCATGTATTTTTGTGAACAAAATACAGTTCGCATTTATTATCCGATTGAAATGAAATTTTCCAAACAATATTTGTTTTGCCCAGAACGAACCCTATTAAAATTAATGAGAATCGGATCAGATTAGGATATAGCTCCCATATATATCTTCAACCGATTTCGGGTTAATTGTGCACTAATTGCAATATCCGTCAAAAAACCCTACTTTTCGGTACATCCGACCGAATTCAATCTACAAGCAAATACATAAAATTTGGTGAAAAACGGTTCAGATATAGCTTTAGCTCCAATATATATATGTTTCATCCGATTTGGTCTCTAAGTCCCTCACATACGTAATATGCATTCGACAACAATGATAATTGGTACCAGATATCTTATAGAGCTCGGTAATATCTTTGCCTAATTTTATCGGGATCGGCTAGGTTTTGGATACAACTCTCATATATATCCTTAAACTGATTTCAGGTTTATTGTGCAAATAATGACTAATATCAGCCCAAATTGATTGAAAATATATCAAAATGGAACTCGGCTCCGATATATATTTTTAATATAATCCATCTCGAATTGATATCATGCAATTTTATTTGGTATAAAAGACAAAATTGTCTCCATCAAATTTAGTGATTAGCGATTCAGAATTGGATATGCCTCCCATATATTAGTTCCCTGTGAAACCAAATTATAACTGCTCTAAAGCCAAATGTTGATAGGTGGTATGATCTACTTTAAATAAATTATTTTATTACGGGAGCTCTACAAAATATACATAGTGGTACATCATATAGTCGACCCGTCCGAATTTTGACTTTTCCTTACTGGTTTATATATATGTATATATATTGTTTTTGTTTTTTTTTTTATATTTGAACTTTGCTATTATATTTTTTTTTAATATTTGAATGCATGTGGGAGTGGTGAGAGACAAAACTTATTAAAGTAACACTTAGTATTATTTTCTAAAATATTTACTAAGGCAGCAACGATTTTGTGATTGAACTTAAACACTATCTGTTATCATATACGGATAAAGACTACACATATGGCAACACTAAAATTATTACATCTAAAATGGTTTCAAAACGTACTAATGATTGGCAACGCGAGAACATAAATGGAAATACTTCATGTGTAGATGTCGCCATTATCGCCGACATATATTCTTTTTAGGAACATTCGAAATAGGGGACCCCCATGATACGCAACAATATAAAATTGATATTAATTATTAATTCTTTGTTGAAAATCATTCTTGGCAAATTAGTAATGTTTTAATTATTTATAATTTCTGGTTATTTAATTTATCATTAAGACTTGTTACCTAATAATTGGATTGCTTCCAAAATACTCACTTTTACCCCATAATTACAGCGTATGCGACTTTAGTCTGCTCTGTCCGGCCTCTAAGACAAATGTTATTCCATTTGTAACCGTAAGTGGTAATAAATATTACAACTTCGGGATTATCCACGTTGTGTAAGATTTTTCTCAATTTAAGTGAAAAAAAAAAAAAAAAAAAAAAAAAAAAAACAAGTAAAAAACATTAAGTTCGGCTGTGCTGTGTGTTCAATATCGTCCACCTTATGGTTAAGGAAACATTAGAACCCATTATGACCCACAAATACCAATTTTTAGACATATTCGTGGGAAAATGTGTCAAAAATCATCAAAATATAGAATTTTGGGAGGTACCGCTATATGTGGCTATACAAAAACGTGAACCTATACAAACAATGTTTCGCCAACGGAGATAGAACCCATTAGGGCACACAAATACCAATTTTCAGACAAATCCGTGAAAAAATGTGACAAAAACCATAAAAATACGGAATATTGGGAGGTATCGTAACATGGGGGATACACCAAAACGTGGACCTATACATGCAATGTTTCCCCACCGGAGCTAGAACCCATTATGACCTACAAATATCAATTTGCAAACAAATCCGCGAAAAAAGGTGGCAAAAATCATCGAAATATCGAATATCGGGAGGTACCGTTATATGGGGTCTATACCAAAACGTGTTCCTATACATACAATGTTTCGCCACACGAGCTATTATTTATTACCCGATCCATATTTAATTTTGCACAAATCATTTGTTTGGCCCAAGGACGACCCCTATTGAAATTGGTGATAATCGGTAAAAATTTAGATATAGCTGTGGAGAAAGATGTAAATGTTTATAAGTGCGGTTCTAAAATTTAGAAGAAATTCCAAAAGAATTTTATTTTTTTTTAATTCTTTGGTTCCTCTTCTATTGAGCTTACGATCTCGTCACTTGGGTAAAATAACTTCTGGGGAGAATATCCCCCTGGTAAACATTACCATCGTTCTCCACTAATAACATAACGTTGTTTTTATAAAAACAACAATAAAGGGGTAAGCCTGACCATTTTGCAACAACAAAATACTATGGTATCCCGAACAATCAAGCCAACACTGTTCTATAGCTCCAATATATATCTTCGTCCGATTTGCCTTTTATTGTGCACCACACGTGTAATATCAGCCCGAATTGTATGGAATTTTGCACTACAACCAAATTAGGCCTGAAAATAAGTATGCCAAATTTGATCGAAATCGGTTCAGATATACCTATAGCTCCCATATATATTGTTCATTCGATTTGTTATTTTAGTCCTCTTTAGTCCTCAGCCGTAATATACACTCTGTAACAACAATATTTGGGGAAATATATCAAATACAGCTCAGAAATATCTTTGCCAAATTTTATCGAGATCGGTTCGGATTTGGATATAGCTCCCATATATATCAAATGGGCAACACAAGTCCGAATTTAAAAGATATAAATGCTTCGACATATTTAGTCTTTTGAACTTTAAATTATAATTATAATCATTGATTGAATTCTCCCATAAAAACTTTTAATTGTTATGTGGAGCTCTACTAAATTAGCAAAGTGTTGTAGGGTAACATAAATTCGGCCCCGCCCGACTTGAAGACATTCTTTATTGGTTTAAACTGCGTTATTTATGTTTATGGAATGACTTTTTTTAAGAAAACTCATCAAATATTTTTGGTTTTAACTCTCTTCAGTTCAGAGTTGCCATCTTTTATGGTTTTTATTAAAATATTTATAACTAAATCTAATAAAAATATATGTATTTTTACAAAACTGGTTAAGTTTCATTTATTTATATACACTAATGCTAATTGTTCTATAGACTTACATAAGTATTGATTGAATACATATATACGTACATTGCACTTAATCTAAAAATGTTGAATATTATGCTTAGGTTCTAAAACCGAAATGAAATTCTGTAATCAGGGGAATCTACGACTTTTCATTTCATTTTTGTGAAAATAAAAAAAATAATTTTGAAAAATAAAATTGAGATTTAAAAGAAAAATCCATGTAAATAATATAAATAAAAAAGTTATTAAAAAAATGGGTTCTAGTCAAAACTCAAAAGATTATTAATTAATTTACATTTGTTTGGTTTAAACTTAAACTAAGTATTGACCTGAGATTTATTTGACTTGTGCCTTGTTGGGGCATTCTTTGGCAATTTCACGAATGACACGGCACAACAATTCACCACAGACTGCCTGGCGGGAACGACCCACAGTGACAACTTCCTCGTGATTGGCCTCATCTTCGCTGCTGTCATAGCCGGTGGCACATTTGTTGGTGATCAGACTGAAGGCGAAGACGGTCAAATCGCAGTGACGGGCGGTGATAACTTCATGAACGGTACTCATGCCCACGGCATCGACGCCCATGGTGCGCAACATTCTCAGCTCGGCCACAGTCTCATAGTTCGGTCCACCCAAACAGGTGTAGACACCCTCGTGAATTTCATTCTCAATGCCCATATCTTTGGCTACCTGCTTGGCAATTTTTATCAAATGGGCATTGTAGGCATTGGTCATGGGTGGGAAGCGGGGTCCGAAACGAGGATCATTGGGCCCCTGCAGGGGTGAGTTGCCGGCAAAACCCATAATGTTGATGTGATCACGCACCAGCATAATGTCACCAACCTTGAATTTGCTGTTAAGACCTCCAGCAGCATTGGTGGCCATAAGGTAACGTACACCAACCAATTTCATGACACGCACCGGCATCGAACATTTGGCCAATGGATAGCCCTCATAGTAATGGAAACGTCCCTGCATGGCCATGACGGGCATATTCTCCAAATAACCAAAAATCATGCGGCCAACATGGCCCTCCACCGTGGACACTGGGAAATTGGGTATATCCTCATATTCAAAGACTTTGGTATCGGTAATCATGTCGGCAATGGAATTCAAACCGGAGCCACAAATAATGCCAATCAGGGGACGAATTGTGGTGCGATCCAATAAGTAATCGGCAATATCTTTAATGACTTCATAGGAATATCTGGGAGAAAATTGAAAACAAAACAATAATGTTAGCAAATAAACAAACAATTAAAAACTTTATTTTTCTTTTGTGGACACATAAAAACAACAACAATTAAAAACATACAAGACATTACAAAGGAAATCACTTGGAAAAAATTGTCTCGCAATATTCCTGGAAAATGTTGAACGGGTTATATTTATACCCACACTACAAGGTGGTCAGGGTATTATGCCTTTGTGCATTTGTTTGGAAAGGAAACAAGATAGACCCATAGTTTCTTTTGATGAACTGCATAGAAACACTTTCTGAATTGATTTATGCATGTCAGTCCGTCCGTCTGTCTGTCCATATATTCTTGTGAACAAAATGCAGGTCGCATTTATTATCCGATTGAGATGGAATTTTCCAAACAACATTTGTTTGGCCCAAGGACGAACCCTATTGAAATTGGAGATAATCGGTCAAAATTTAGATATAGCTCCCATATTTATCTTCGTCCGATTTACCTTTTATTGTGCACCAAACGTGTAATAATATCGAACTGTATGGAATTTTGCACATACAACTAAATTAGGCCTGAAAATAAGTATGCCAAATTTGATCGAAATTGGTTCAGATATAGATATAGCTTCCATATATATTCTTCATCCGATTTGTTGTATATTCAGGGAAATATATCAAATACAGGTCAGAAATATCTTTGCCAAATTTTATTGAGATCGGTTCAGATTTGGATATAGCTCTCATATAGATCTTTATCTGATTTCAAATAAATTTGCACCAAATGGGCAATACAAGTCCGAATTTAAAGCAAACAAATGCCTCGGCATATTTAGGACTTTGAATTTTAAATTATAATTATAATCATAGGGTGTATGATTGAATTCTACCATAAAAACTTACCGTTTTTTTTTTTTTCAAATTTCCTAGTAAAGAGTTGTTATCAAAGCAACGAATGTTTTTTACGATCAGTTCTGTGGAATTGTTTGTGTTCTTTGGAAATCGATTGCAATATAGACGTAGGGAGTGGATCATTAGTGCAGTTATGTTGGCCCGTTTCAAAATCGATTAATTTTATATGTCCACCATATAAATAAGAAGTAAAAAAGCAGTAAGTTCTGCCGGGCCGAACTTTGAATACCCTCCACCATTTGGAACGAATTAAGAAATTTGCAAAAAAACAAAATCCATTAAAAATTCTTTTAACACTTTAAAAATACCGAATATCGTAAGGTGCCGATATATTGGGGGGATATATGATATTGTGGACCTATATAGACAAATCTATGTCTGCTGGTAAAGTACTCACAATGAATTTGCGTGGAATTTCAGAAAATTCCATTGAGAAATGTGGTTAAAATCATCAAAATACCGAATATCGGGGGTACCGTTATATGGGGGCTATACGATATTGTAGACCTATATAGACAATTATCTTGCAGAGGGATAAAACACCCACAAGGAACTCCTTATGTGGAATTTTAGACAATTCCGTTGAAAAATGTGGCGAAAATCATCAAAATATCCAATATCGGGGGGTACCGTTATAATGGGGATATGCGATATTGTGGACCGATATAGCCCATCTTCGAACTTGACCTGCCTGCAGACAAAAGACAGATATGTGCAAAATTTTAGCCTCCTATCTTAATTCGTTTTGACTGTAGCGTGATTACAACAGACGGACAGACGGACGGACAGTGCTAAATCGTCTTAAAATTTCACGCTGGTCAAGAATATATGTACTTTGTTGGGTCTAAAATTATTATTTCGATGAGTTACAAACGGAATGACGAACTTAATATACCCTATGTATGGTGGAGGGTATAAAAATCTCAATTTGTTTGCTGTCATACAATAATGTTTAGAACCTCTCTTAACCTCATATGGGGTTAATATTAAAATTAGTATATTTTTAACAACTAATAACTCTATTTTCTGCCAGGGATAGGAACCTAAACGTTTTAAAAGAAGCCTAAACGTTTTGTTGATGGGTGCAAGAGTGAAATTGGGTGAAAAAAATGTTGATTTGTGTGTTCGCGTTGTAACAAAATGTTTTTGATATTGCTGTGGGCTGGGGGTGAGGTGATTGTGTAAAACGCTTAGATGAGAAAAATAGCAGAAGCATCCACACACAGATATTTGCATAAAGCGTAGAATCTTCTTGATTTCGAGCGAAATTTGCTCTCACTCCAAAAACGAGCAATGCTCTCAATGCTACTCTCTCTTATTAGAGCGACAAAGAAACGTGGAGAATACTCGAATTTTAAGCTGATCAAGAATATTTGTATCTACTTGATCGGCTCACGTTTTTTGCACCTTCCATCTAATAATGGAGAGTATAAAAATGACACAGTGGAAGATATCGCTTTATATTTGTATCGTCCACACGACTTATATACAAACCCTTTTTCATAAGAGAATAAACACTTTTAATAAACATAACTCTTAAATCTCTTAATAAACATAACTCTCTCAAAAAGAGTTGCCCATTCAAACTAGAGTTTTCAATTGAGAGTGAGACTTGAGCGTGAGCAGGATCACACGAAGAGTGGGCATTTAAGTTAATTCGTCGATTCGTCTTTTGTGGAAACGTTGTCTCTCTCGGACGTCACTTCTATTTGAAAAATTAGAATGAAAGACGAATCGCTCGAAATAGAGTAAAAGTTTGCCCTAAAAATAAAATCAAGTGCAAAACAGGCAATCGTTAAGGTATACATACCCTCACACAACGTTCGTTTTTATTTTTAAATATATTTTGTCATAAGTTATGTTATAATTTTAGAAAATATTTTGAAAAGTGCTTGAGTTACAAGATATGGTGATGGAAGTATTTCATTTACTCACTTCATATAATACTGATAAAAATATTGGTATGTCCAAATGAGAGAACTCTAACTTGTTTCACATTTTATTAGAGTTAGAATTATTACCAGAAGGACCGATATATTTCATCTTCAAACCAGACCTTATGTTTGTAAAAATATTAGCATGTGTGAAATTTTAAGAGAATCGGATGCTTATTTCGCTTTCTAGGAGAGTTATAATTATTCAAAAATTGTAACCCCTTGTGGGGGAGGCACCAAAAGGAATAACTCACTCTTGTGTTGGTAGAAATATATCGTTTCATATGGGTTTCATGGTTAATCAACATTTTGACCCATTATGGGCAAAGTACGAGAAGAAGGGGACCGCGTTTATAGGAATGTTGAGAATTGGATAATTGGATCCTTAGTTTGTATATTATAAGAGTTATAATTTTTTAAAATGTTCACCCTTTATGGAGAAGGTATTTGATGGAGTGGACCGACATTGTCCATTTTCGTACCTGACCTAGCACTGGAAAAATATAGATTTTGCAAACTTTGCATGATCTTTTCTTGTTTTACAAGGCAATTTTTTTTGATGAAAATTTTGACCTTTAGTGAGATAGGTACTAGGAGGAGTGGACTCGACTCCAAACGTCCTGGAACGGATTTGGTCCAAACAGATCTAGGGTCTAAAACTGTTGTTTCGATAAGGCACGTTTTGACCGAATTAAATATGCCATCTTACAAGTCCTAATACAAAGAAATAAATACTTTTATTTTACAACCTTTTATGGACCTTGCAAGATAAAACACCTTCTTTTTGTTGCGCCACCATATTTAGTTCAACAATGTCGTGTGAAAAATCCTGATTAATTTCTTGGTAAAAGATAGTGACTAGAGTGATAAGTGAAATAAGACAACGATAGTTAATGTGACGTTAAACGAAAACGAAAACAATTTTTCGACAATCGATGACACAAGTGACAGACTGTCATATTTAGTCCTCCTTCACAGAGTCATGTGAGGCGAAACTAAAGTGAAATTGATTGCAATATTAATAATTGAGATTGTGAATGACATCTAAATAACACAAACAATGTCGCAATAAAAATATGTTTCACCAGATTTTCATAAGCAGTTGAAATGACATTTGTTTGTTTTGTTGCGTTTTATTTATCCTTCGTAACCTACCACAATTTTTCCTGTACCTTATTTTCATCCAATAAGAAATTGAAAAATTTCAAAGAAATTTAATTTATAAAACATTTGCCAATTGCACTTACTTTTCGCATATTTCCGCTTCAATTTTGCTCGTGTCAATATTTGCCGTATTTGTTTTATTTGTAGTATTATTATTTCTGTAAAATTTAAGGCATTGCAGATAGTCATTGTAATTTGGTGGTTTTTTTTTATAAATTTGTTTTGTGTTGTAAATTGTCTAAAAATTGTATTGGAAATTCCATTGAAATATGCGGTTCAGCCATTTTATATTCTATTTGTTTTAGTGTGTTAATAAGCGTAAGCTGTGCTGTACCTAAAGACAGTATTTATCCATTTAAATAAATTTCATTGATTTTTCACTACAAGCGGATTTAAAAATATGTGTTTTTTTAATATATATTTTCTAATTAAAGCTTAAAAGCAGAAACCAGCCGGGCGTATCATGCAATATCCAATACCAAGATTTTGTTTTTTTTTATACCTGTACCGATTTTGTATCTTTAAATACTATCTTTAAATGACTACTGTAGGTTCATATAATTAGGTATGTACCATAATGTTCTACATCGAAATATCCGATATAACTTAGCACATCGTAATATTTTGAAAAAAAACTTCAGTCAGAGGCAATATTGCCATATTTCTTCCTGTACCTCCACCACAGGTTTTATAAATGAAAAATCCACCAAAAAATCTGAAATCTGTTTCGATTTTAGAGATAGCATAAAAATGGAATTTATCGGTTAATATTGATGCAATTCCTCCACAAAGGTACAATTTTAGAGTAATAACCCTGCTAATAGGTGCAATCAATATCCGACTTCCGTCAAAATTTGCAAATTCCAATATTTATACCCGCATCCATATGGCTAGCGAGGGTATATATCATTTTATACGGTCAAAGTGTGCCTAGTCGAAGTAACGGTTTTAGACCCTAGGTCTCTTTGGACCAAATCCGTTTGAGGACATTTGGAGTGGATGTAGCGATGTCTGTCCGTCCGTCCGTCTGTCCGTCTGTCTGGCTGGTGCACACGATAACTCTCGAAGGAGGTCAACTTCTTCTGGTACATTCCCCACAAAAGGTCGACATTTTCAAAAAATATATTTTCTGCACAGAAAGAGAAACGATAATCCGATTTTGCTCCAATAATCCATCTTCAAATTTCTCACATCCCAATATTTTTATCAACCCAAGGTCTGTTGTTAAGATGGAATATATCGGTCCGCTCCTTCTGGTACCTCCCCCACAAAAGGTCGAAATTTTCAAAAAAATATATTTTCAGCACAGAAAGAGAAAGGATGCTTCGATTTTGCTCGAACTTTGCAAATCCTAATATTTGCACCAGTTCTAGGTCAGGTGCGAAAATGGACAATATAGGTCCACTCCATCAAGTACCTCTCCCATAAAGGGTCAAAATTTTGAATAATTACAACCCTTATAAAATGTGATTTAAAAGTTCAATTGACATCAAAGTTCACAAATCCCAATATTTTGTTAAACTCAAGATCTGGTGTTATGATGGAATATATTGGTCCAGTCCTTCTGTTACCTCCCCCACAAAAGGTCAAAATTATGAATATCCATTAAGCTCATAAAACACGAAATTAACATCCGATTTCATTTAGATATGGCACATCTGAATATTCTTATCAACACAGGATCTGTTATAAAAATGGTAGAGATAGAACCATTCCTTCTGGTACCTCCCCCGTAAAGGGTCAAAGTTTTGAATAACCAAAACGTGTATAAAATCCGAAATAAGTGTCAGGTTCTCTTTATATTTCACACATCAACAAATATAATTATAATTATTATAATTAAAAAAAAAATTACACCAAGTAAATTTAACATACAAACATTATATCCCCTTATTACCATCTTTTGTAACATTTTCTAATCAAAAGTTTTCTAACGAGAACCGATACGATTAGAAAAGAAAGAAAAAAAAAAAAAAACAAACAACAAATAAATACAAAAAAAAAAAAAAAAAAAAAAAAACAGAAAAACAACTTCACCTTTGGTATGGATTTTATGAAATAATTAATGTTTAATTGGCATTGATTAGAATTAAATTGGGCGATTTATTGTTAGAACTTGTAAAGAAAGAAAAAAGAACACACACATACACGCAAGTAAATATAAATTTTGATGGAAATGAATTAGTTTACTCTTGGCCATAAATAATAACAATAAAAAAACAAATGTGAAAAGAGCTGAACGAAAATAAGAGATAACATACAAAAACAATGATCGATTGTAACTTGTGCTCCCAAAAAAAGAACCAAAATAATGCAAACCTAAAATAAAAAATTTTGAAACAAAACCAAAAACAACACAAAACACAAATATAATTCAACATAAAAATAACTAAAAATTTCAAAAAAAAAAAAACCAATTTTGATCGACTTTTAGTCACTACTAACTTTTCTTCATTCATCACCATTTCGACTTGTGATAATTGTTTTTGCATTCTTGACGTTGTTGTAGCTGCCGATTCTGATGATCTGGAATAAGAAATAAAATATTTGGAATTGGATTTAAATGCAACAACTACAAAGGAGTTTAATTTATGGGAGTTTTTTTATTTGTTATGAGAGGTGGGTGTGTGGGTGGACATATGTCTGAAAGACCTATGTAAATAATGATATGAAATGCATTTGGAAACCTTAACCATAATTAACAATATATATTTTTTTGGAATTTCATTGATCGGCATTACCAAGCAAATGTTATACCCTTAGCCACAGCCATATGGCTGTGTATATGTATACATTATTTGATACGGCCAAAACGTGCCACGTGGAAATAATGGTTTTACACCCTAGGTCTCTTTGGACCAACTCCGCTTCAAGACATTTGGAGTCGATCTAACGATGTCCGTCCATCTGGCTGGCTGGAGCGCCAGACAACTCTCGAAGGTTATATCGTAATATCATTATCGAAATCGGAGATGGGCAATATAGGTCCACTCTCTCTGGCATTTTCAAAAAAAAAAAAAAAAACATATATATGTATAGACAAATCCTATTTTGCTCCAACTTTGCAAATCCTAATATTTGCATCAGTGCTAGGTCGAAAATGGAAAATATCGGTTCACTCCAACAAATACCTCCCTCACAAAGGGCCAATATTTTGAATAATTATAACTCGTATAAAATGTGATGTAAAAGTCCGATCGTTTCTAAATTACATACATCACAATATTTTTATTAACCCAAGACCTGCTGTGAAGATGGAATATATCGGTCCACTCCATCAAGTTACTCTCCCAGAGAGGGTCAAAATTTTGAATGTACATGAAGCTCATAAAACGCGAAATCAGTATTACCATCATCACAAGATCTGGTATAAAGTTGGTAGGGATCGGACCATTACTTCTGGTACCTCCCACACAAAGGATCAAAATTTTGAATAACCAAAACGAAATTAAAATCCGAAATATGTATCCAGTTCTCTTCATATTTCACATATTCCATAATTTCTACTAACACAAGATCTGCTGTGAAGATGGAATATATCGGTCCTCTTCTTTTGGTATTTCCCACAAAGGGTCGAAATTGTCAAACAAAAAATATTTTACTGCAGAGAAAGATAAACGATTATCCAATTTTGCTCCAACTTTGCAAATTCTAATATTTGCATCAGTACTAGGCCAGATGCGAAAATGGACAATATCGGACCATTCATTCTGGTACCTCCCCCACAAAGGATCAAAGTTTTGAATAACCAAAACTATGATGAAATCGGAAATATGCATCCGTTTCTCTTCTCACATCCGATTATTTCTATTAACACAAGACCTGCTGTGAAGATGGGATATATCGGTCCCATATTTCCCCCACAAAGGGTTATTTGAATATCCATGAGCTTCATGGAAATTAACATCCGATTCCATTCAGACTTGGTACATTTCAATATTTTCATCAATACAAGTTATACAGTTATAAAGATGATCGAGATCGGACCATTTCTTCTGATACCTACCACACATAGGGTTCAAGATTTTGAAAAACAAACGCTCAACGAAATCGAAATAGGCATCCAGCTCTCTTCAAATTTCACACATACAAACATTTTTGCTCACACAAGATCTCATCTGAAGGTGATACATATCTGCGAACCCCTTCTGTTACTTAACCCACAAAGGGTTACAATTTCCAGTACTTATATCTGTCATAACTTGCAAAACAAGTCAGCGATCCTTTATAACTAAATATATATTTCTTTGCCAGAAACCTGAGATGGATATAGAAGTTATGATCTTCCATAAAATTGGATATAAATTTTCGATTTTCTTGTAATTGTACCCATACCAATATTTTTATCTGTATTAGATGAAGTGTGAATATGGAATACTTCGATAGACTATACCTGGGGTACCCCACGCACATTTAAAAATTTCCAAAAATTATGAAATATCTCATATAATGTGAAGCAAGTTACCAATATAGTCCAAACCTGGCACGTCACAACATTTGTATCATATATATTTAGGTCCTATCCGAAATTGACAATTTTGGCCCATTCCTTTGGAACCCACTCCATGGAGGGTCAAAAATTTCAATAATCATAACACAATTCAAAATATATTTTAATCATCGAACATTGGCTGTGGGTATACATCTGTCGGCAAAACCGAATGATATTTTTAATATATATGCAATAGGTCTTTGATACATGTATTTTTATATTTCAGTGCAATTCATATTTTTTTCTAAGAAATAATTGTTAATAATTTCAATGGATATTCTAGCCGTGTATTTAATTCCTCGAAAGGTAATTTGCAATGGGCTTATCTTTGAAAATTTCCCCATAATAAAATGAAACGTGCAGTTTACCGCTCGATAAGTGTATACGCAGAACCCAATAATTTCTACGAATGATTACAAAATTGAAACTGCAGTTTCAATTACTCAATTACTGAGGGGGTTATAAATTCCGACTGAAAAAAATGTAATCAGTAAAAATGTTCAAGTTATCATACAGACCTAATGTGATACTCTTCCAGGTCCTACTCTCAGCTAATCGTATCATTTTCACATTCGTTATTGTTGACACATTTGAAATCGAAATCAAAACCTCAAATCAAAATTGCAGCAAATCGTAATGAATTTGCATAACAATTCTAGAACTGTTTACATTGCAAAACCAAAAAAATACACACACACGCACCGTGTTTGCACACAGTAACGGGAATCTATCCACCTAACTGCTTATCTACTCAGATTAGGTTATTCAAGTGTTTTGCCATAGATATCATCCCAAATACTCAGTTATCAGCAAAAGAAAAAAAAGTGAAATGACACACCTCCGGACAAGGCAATTCCGTAATAAAATATTTTGGAATTTGGTCAACTTTTACTACCAATGCAATTAATTCAACAAGCAAAGTTCGCTAGATAATAGGTGTGTTCGATAAGTTTCCAGGGAAATATTTGCAAAAATAAAATTCTTACTCATTCATTCTAAAACGTAAAAATACATCATTTAGAAAAAAAACTTTCATTTTTATTGGAAAATACTCTTAAAATCGATCAAAAATACGTACTAAAATGTACTATATTTGGCTTTTGCGTGGATTGACTTGAAAGCCTAAAATTTGGCATTAGGATCACCTCTTGTGTGGTTTGGTTGATACATGGTGGGAGATTTGGAATTAGACGCTAAATAGTATTGCCATTGCTATTTTAAGGAGGAATAGGCCAGGAAATTTGAAATTTGGGTTGAGTGTCTTTGATGTTGTGTGGGATAGATAGACTAAAGGATTTTGCGAAATTCTAACAATACGTACCAAAAGTACTAAAATGCACTAAATTTGGTACAACTTGGAATTATGAGAATGGATAGTGATAAAATCTTGAAATTATAGTACGAGAATTCATGGAAATTGGGTTAATGCAGAGAGATGATTTGGAAATTTCTGTAAGTGTAAGAACAGTACTAAATGGTACTAAATTTGGTAATGACCAATAGAATAGGGTTGGAATTCTCAAATTTAATATTGAGGTCTCGCTTGGTATTTGGAGGTAGAAACGTACTAAATAGTACTATATAAAAACGTACTACATAGTATAATATTTAGTACAGTTTGGTATTGGGTGAATAGAAAGTGCTTAAACTTTGAAACTTAGTATTAGACTCGTGGTCATGTGTTGCATATTATATATGGAGATGCTTTCGTAAATGTGTACGAAAAGTGCTGGATGATACTTTATTTGGTATTGGGATAAGGGATCTCTATCCCTTCTAAGGAATCTCTATCCAATTCTAAAATTTGATATTTAGATTACTGGTGGTATGTGTAATTGAGATTTGGCGGGCGTTTGGAACTGTGTCCTACATTTGTACAAAAAGTACTAAATGGTACTAAATTCGGTATTGGGTGAAGGTATAGGGCTGGAATCCTTTAATTCGATATTGAGACCTCTATTGGAATCTGGAATTGAAATGCGGAGGTGGTTTTGGAAATGTGTACTAAAATTGTATGAAACGTACTAAATAGTACTAAATTTGGTATTGGGTAAGGGATAAATATAAAATTCTGAAATATGAAATTTAGATTGCTGATGGTATCTGGCGGTGGTTTATAAATGCGTCCTATATTTGTATAAAAAGTACTAAGTTTGGGCTGAAATCCACAATTTTGACATGGATGTCACGGTTGGTGTCTGTGGTTAGGATGTGGAGATGGTTTTGAAAATGTGTACTATAATTGCTCGAAAAGCAGTAAGTGGTACTAAATTGAGTATTGGGAGAAGGCGCATAGCTGGAATATAGTTGAGGTCTCTGTTGGTATTTGGGATTGAGATATGAAGGCGGTTTTGGAAATTCTTACTATGATTTTTTCGAAAAGTATTAAATTATACTAAATTCGCTGTTGAGTAAATGTATAGAGCCTGAATCTTGAAATCTGATAATGAGGTCACTTTTGCTTTCCAGAATTTAGATATTTTTTGGTGGCCAGATTTTTTTATGAAAAGGCTTCTAAATAGTTTTGCCAGAATACAGACGTGGGGCCATTGTACAATGGTAATAATATCCTCCTCGGTACACTTCAAAATGAAAGATGTTTTGGTGCAAAAGGAAATCATACAGGATAAACTTAAATATTATAAAAAAAACTTTAAGGTCTAAAAATATAGACCGATTCACGAATTTCGTCAAAAAATACCTCTAAAATGGAAACTATTATATGGGGCTATGTGAAAACATGGACCTGCATACGTTTTTTTATAGACTGTAGTATCGTTGTATGGAGGCTATACTGAGTCTTGGACCTGCATAGACAATTTCCCGTCGTAGGTTGTAGTACCCATTAAGAACTTCAAATATGAAATTTGACCCAATTCCGGTGAATTATGTCGCGAAAATCCTTGAATTGACGAATATCTCTGGATGGCGTTTAGTGGGTCTTATACTAAAACGTAGACCTATATAGACAATTCTCTTCCAGGGAGTAAAATACTCAGAGGGAACTCCTTGTGTGGATTTTCAGACTATTCCA